GTAAAAACTGCCCACCAGGTCACTGCGACCTTTATTTCACCTTTACCTTGACCTTGATCATATTTCCCTTCCGCTTTCTAACTCAGCCCCTGATTGACCTAGCGTGACCAAACTTGGTTCGGCCTCCTAGGGTAACCAGATTCCATATACTTGCACATCTGAGGCACACCAGTTGTCTAACAAACCTTTGTCTTTGTGACTTATTTAACTTTACCTGCCTTCAACGTCCTTACAGAGATATTCCATTCATACTAGATCACGGGGGATACATGTAGTTGGCGACAACTGCTCGTTTCTAGTTCTTACGTGGAATAAGACTTGCAACAACTCAGTGTGAAAGAAAAGATTGTCATGAGAAGTTGTGTTTGAAAGAGAGCTTGGTTGTTATGACACGTTAAAGTGACCCAAAGGGAAATTGACATGAAAAAAAACCAAATCTGTTCCTGTGTCCGTCCATTCATCTCTTTCTTTCTTGCCCTATCGCTCTCCATTTAACTTTCTCTATCTCTCTCCCTGTCCCTTTATCTCTTCCTCTCTTCCCTTCTCCCCACACTCTATCTCTCTCTCTCTCTGCCCTCCTTTTTCTCTCTTTCTCTTTAATCTTTCTTTGTCTCACCCACCCACTCTCAACCCTCTCTGTCTCTTCTCTACGTCAAGCTCTTTCCTTGGAGAAATACTACATTAATCACTAAGTGAGATCAATTACCAATACATCTTTACAAATAACGCTTAAATCGGAGTTTAGAGAAATTCCAGAATGTATGCGCATTTGTAGCAAAATGCTCCTGACAAGAATATTATGGCTGTAAGGAACATGGCATATGCTCTTAGGTGAAACACTACTGGAGCACTAAATTATAGTCCAATTATAGTGCCAAAACGTATAGTAGGCCTGGTGATGGATTCGTGTTATAGTAAGCTTAACATGTCATCTGGTAGAGGCTGGAGTCCCAGGAGTCTGATCTACTGTTAATAGGAATACAGACTAGATCTCAATTTACAAAAAAAAACTTAATGAATAGCCAATTTTGCTATAATAAACAGGTACACTTCAATCAATATAATTTATAATTCGGTGTACCTCATATGTAAGTTACACTGTGAAGTAGCACGTGTGCGCGCTTGCTGGTGTGTAGTTCCTTACTGGTATGACTTACAACATTCTTCTGTCGATATCCCTAGGTACAGGAGGCCGTTGGCTTGATGTCGAAGTTTGGCACTGGTGAAGACAAGGATCATGCAGTGCAACTGATGAAAAGTGTACTTCTACACCAGCTGCAAACAAGTGAAGGAAAGGCACCAGCTGATGCCTCATCTGAAGAAATGCCTTCCTCCTCAGCTGAAGTGATGGAAGCCCTTGATTCTTCTGCTGCTGCTGCCTCTCTGTTGCTCTCAGTTGCCAAAGAGAGCAAGGTAGTCGCTATCTCTGGTTATTATATATAGGAAAACATGTTATATAACAATTAAGCCTGGAACGTTCGATCACATTGATCTCTGTAATGCTGATCTATCTTACTACAAGTTCAGTAATAAAGATAAAGTATAGAGATATTTTTCCAATGTAGTATCTGATCTACACAATGAAATAAGTGTCGTACATTCAATGCAGGACTCAAGGTCTAGCGTAATCATCTGCAGTTCTAATGTAGAATTAATACTGCCCGTGGGTTTGTTTTCCCATGGATTATCTGTAATAAATGTATGTATATATTGCACTTAGCATGGTCGCAGGCAATAATGCCAATGAATGTAGTTACCATGCAGCTTCTTTCGTCTCTAGGAGAAGGGCGAGTCCGTAAAGGTCGAAGTGCTTGACACGCCACCTAGTGGCAGGCAGCTGCGAACATACACGCGCAAGAAGCTTGCAGTGAAGCAGACTGGCAAGAATGCTCCGCTGAGCTGTGGGGAGTTTGACGACAAACATCAACTGAAAGACTTTAAAGCTGCTGCTCCTGCCACTAAAGGTGATGCGAACTGTTTACAAAAGGAACTCTGACTGGAGCCAGCATTATATGCTACTTTCTTTCATATAGCCTGGCCGATCTGCAGTCATTATGCCTACTGAATTCCATTGTTAAATTGGTAATCGCATGAGTTATAAGAATTTACGAGAATTAGAAACAAAAATGTCCTATACATTAATCCAATTAACCTATGTGGTATTCTATGTAAGCTATTCAGCAGAAAGGAATTTATCAAGTTTTGCACCAATGTGCAAATTGCTCAGGGCCTGAAAACATTTAGATTCATTCGTGAATGCATGATGACATGCACATGCAAACATATGCATGTTGTGGCAGTTGTCATTTTGTTCTCATAGATGGCAGTGGTGATGCATCTTTGTACATAGAGGTGACAGTCTGTGATCCAGCAGAGGATAAAAGCTGTGGAGGAGTTGTGACACGAAAACGGAAGAAGGGTCTGTGTAGTATTGACACCTAATTCTAATTAGTTCAATTGTAAAATTTTTGGTTTAATTTCTCATCGATAATTTTTCAACCTTTTTTCTCATCTTTGAAGCTGCTGTAGCTTTTCTAGGTAATGTGGCTATAAACTTGATGAAGCTAATTAGTGCAGGATTTATTATATTTTCACTGCCTGTGTTTCCCAGTAAACTGTTACTTAATGTGATTCCTAATTGTTTATTACAGAGTTGCAAGAGGAGGCGGTGAGCACACGAAGGAAAAAACTTAAAAACAAGATGGACGATGCAGAAAATATAAAGCATGAAGTGCAACAGAGCTCAGTTGATGAATGTATTATAGTTTTAGAGGATCCATGTAACATGGGTAACCGAAGTTTATTCTCAAGAGATGGCACAGTTTTATTGAAGCTGATCTGTAATTGTATGAGTAAATAATGACCATTATTCAGTAATATTCTTCTATAAACCTGTACTTTTCACATATTTCTGTCTGTGCATACAAGAAATGTGATTTTGTTATATTTTGTTTTCTTTTTTGTTTTGAATTATGCAGATAATTCAGTGTCAAAGAAGACTTCCAGAAATGGTAACATCAAAAAAGCAAAGAATGACAATGTAGAAGCAACAGTAACAGCTAGTGTTTGTCAAGTCTGTGCCAAAAAGTTATCCAGCATAGCTTCACTAGAAGGTAGCATGAAGTTATCGATTCTTTACTGTAACATATCCTAATGCAACATTATCACTGACTGCTATATTACTTATTGTAATTTTTAAATTTTAGCTATTATTATAGAAATTTTCATAATATTACTGCTATTAATAATTTACATAGTATTGTTATATTTTTGAAACTGTAGTTATACCATTTTGTGGTTTACAGAGTATTTTTTGTATATATACACATAATATCATCGAGTTTATATATGTAGTTTTGCTACGTGTATTTTTTATCTTATCAAAACATAGCTTAGTTTGATTAGTCGCTTCAGTTGTGATATACCTTAGAGGCTGACTTGTTTTGCAGCGCACATGAGAATTCACACTGGCGAAAAGCCATTTGCGTGCAACCTATGCAATGCCTCTTTCTCAACTAAAGGTAAGTAGCATGTATAGGAATAACATAGTATCTATTCGAGAGAAGTTGAGGAGCTGTTAGAGCAAAGGTGAGTGAAAGAGAGAGAGAGAGAGAGAGAGAGAGCGAGCGAGAGAGAGAAAGAGAGAGGGAGAGAGATGTACTTATCAACATGGGTCGCTCTGGCTACCGATCCCTGGTACCATGTTTAAACCATTACTGGGTGTATCTCGACAGGCAACAAGGCGAGGCATGAGCGAACACACACAGGTGACAAACCATATGAGTGCAACGTCTGCAAGAAGCGATTCACAGAGAAGAAGAGCGTAGACATTCACATGCGCATCCACACCGGCGAAAAACCATACCAGTAGGTGGCACCACCAGTCAAGAGTTCTTTATGCACATGATATTATGCACTGTGTGCAAAGGGGAGGGTGCTGTTCGTTATAGTGTGTTAAGGCCAACGCTGATAGATTTAATGTTTCAGAGTCGGTTGCAATCAGATGAATTGAAAACACTTTGAAAATCGGGACTCACTGGGTTTTTCAGACTTATTTCCAAGCCACTGGTATTCACCAGCCAACTAACTGGTATTTTGTTATACGTACAGGTGCCAGATATGCGATCGACGCTTTAGCCAGATCGGAATTCTGCAGGGTCACATGCTGCTGCACGTCGGCCGTCGTAACTTCGTCTGCGAGCTCTGCGGGAAGGGCTTCCCACAGAAGAGTCAGCTGCGCTGCCACCTAGTGAGACACAGCGGCATCAGGCCGCACCAGTGTTTGACGTGCACGGCGACTTTTGTCACGCGAAGTAAGTGCACACGGTCGAGCGTGGAGTTACTGTAGCGCTTGTGGTGTTGATGTGTAAACTAACTTGATGTATCCATTTGAGTGAAGTAACCTCGTATCCTCATGTGGATGCTCTTGCTAGGTCGGTGTCACTGGACCAGCCTGTACGTGTTTTGCATGAGCATATGCCAAATCTCGGCTATGGGAAAAATTTCTTGCCAAGCATTTCTCGGCAGTTCTTAGTTCCCAAAATTCTTTTACGACAGTGATTGGCTACCACTGTCTGCGTATCGTGCCAGGTCAATAGATCAGTTGTTTGCTTGCTTGCTAACACGGCCTTATGATTGCATGCCAGTTACAGCGAGTTTGTTACTACCGACGCACCATTGCATGCCCGTAGTAACACTCCTGTTATTTCATTAAGGCGACATGTGATTGCTCCCTTTCCACTGCCAAGTCGTCACTGTCTACCTGCCGGTGCGTGTTCGTCCTGATTGACATGTCGCTGCACGTCTGTCCTGATTGACATGTCGCTGCATGTCTGTCCTGATTGACATGTCGCTGCATGTCTGTCCTGATTGACATGTCGCTGCATGTCTGTCCTGATTGACATGTCACTGCATGTCTGTCGTGATTGACATATTACTGCATGTCTGTCCTGTTTGACATGTCACTGCATACCTGTAATCACATTTACCTGTAATCACGCGCCTGCCTGTCATTACAGGTGACCTTGAGCGGCACCGGCGCACGCACACGGGCGAGCGTCCCTACGTCTGCGAGCAGTGCGGCAAGAGCTTCACGCGCCAGCAGAACCTGCGCGAGCACATGAACCGGCACAACAACGTGCTGCCGTACAAGTGCACGCGCTGCGAGCGCGCCTTCCCGGAGATGTCTGCCTGCTACAAGCACATCAAGATGCATCTGAAGCTGGACCAGGAGGCAAGCAAGGCAGCCGGCGGCGGCGGCGGCGGTGGTGGCGGTCTGCTAGAGGGCACTCAGGTGCAGGTGAGTGTAGGGGGCGCTGGTATCTGTAACACAGGTACAGGTGAGTGTAGGTGGCACTGCTGTCTGTAGCACAGGTGTAGTTGAATGTAGGGGGCACTGCTATCTGTAACACATGTAGTTGAATGTAGGTGGCACTGGTATCTGTAACACACGTACAGGTGAGTGTAGGTGGCACTGCTATCTGTAACATACAGGTGTAGTTGAATGTAGGGGGCACTGCTATCTGTAACACACAGATGTCAATGAGTGTAGGGGGTGTTGCTGCACGTAGTAGACTGATGTAAACGAGTATAGGGGAGTTAGGACAGTTTTCACAATTAGTGCGTTCGATTTGCTTCCCCAGAGCCACCTGGGTTAACCTGGGTAAGAAATCGACGCATCTGGCTTAGGGAAGATAAACGAACGGTTTTTGGGTTAACCCGGGTTAATTATCATCATGGATGCCAGTGACAAGAAAGAAAAAAAGCAATTGCAATCTTATTATTAATGAAATCTAAGAATGAGCAAACACACGCAGTCATCGACAGTCATGCTTCATTACTGCTTGAAGATTTTTGATTTTTGAAGATTTTGAAGATTTCGTTGCAATGGATTGTGGGATACTTCCCCAAGTGAGCGGCTCGGCTAGCGGGTTACTTCGGCCTCACCCGGGTAACGCAAAAATACCACGTGACTGCCAAATTGAATGTATTTGGGGCTGGCCCGAGTAGACCCAGGTTAACTTGGGGAAGCAAATCGAACGCACTAAATGATATGTAGGTCACCATGGCGACGTGTTACTGATGCTTTTCCTTCCACAGTTGCAGGCAAACGCAATTCCGACAGTCGTATCGAAATACGAGGAGCAGGATGACACTACCAGGGTGCGCTACGATCACGACGGCACCAGCAGGGTGCGCTATGAGCATGACAATGTCACCACGGGGCACTACGAACAAGACACCGTCACCGAGGGGAGCTACGAGCACAACGATGCCACTGGGGGGCGCTACGAGCATGACGATGCCACTGGGGGGCGCTACGAGCATGACGATGCCACTGGGGGGCGCTACGAGCATGACGATGCCACTGGGGGGCGCTACGAGCATGTCGCACTGCAGAACGCTCAGCCGATCATCGGCGGCGACGGCGACGAGCATCACATCGTCATAGCGACGGCCGGTGACGGCGTGGACGTGACCGGGGACGACATCGTCCACCTGATGCCGATGACCGGGGGCCAGCCGACGGTCATCATGGTGTCCGCCGAGCACGATCCGCCGCACATCATCAACCTCGTCGCGGCCGCCGACGGCGACGTGCTGGTGGCGCCCCCTCACGACGCGGTGTCTGTCGTGCAGGCGCTCGCGGGGGAGCACGAGGTGGTGGGGGCGGAGGCGGCGGCGCAGGGGGAGGAGCACGGGGATTACGCGGCCATCAACATGCTGGTCAACGCGGCGTCGCTGACCGCTGCCTACCAGGACCTCGGGGAGGTTGCCGGGCAGACGTACGCGGCGCATCACGACGGTCCGGCCAGCTAGCCGGCGGTCAGGCGCCGGTGTCCACCCCATGCTGGTCTCTTTACTGTGATGCGTTCGGAGTTGGTGAGGCATCGAAAGTCGTGTTTTCGTGGACCCATCGGGTTTTGATGCTAGCGATTCAAGTTGGCATTCTTGATCATGGCAGTCCGGCCAGCTAGCCTGTGGTCAGGGGTCAGTGTCCATCCCACGCTGGTCTCTTTATTGTGATGCGTTCGGAGTTCTTAGATTGATCAGGCATCAAAAATCCTGTTTTCGTGGACCCGTCAGCAATTCAAGTCAGCTCACCTGGAGTAAGAAGTACAGAATAAGCCTTCAGTGAGAAATACACAATAAGTATGAAGTGTGTATTGTCCGTATATTTTGCTTCATAGTGTAAGCACCTGAACTATATACCTGCGCAGCCTATTAAACATAATATGAAGTAATCTGTGTAGCGGGAACATGTATGCTAAACGATCAGATGTAGAAGTTTACTTTATGAACCAAGAGTGAAGGTCTCTTTTCTACTCTGCTCGACAAAAGTCTAGAACATCCTACAAGTTGGTCGACTTGCTACATAGTGTATACACGTTGTTGTATGCAAGCAGCATTATAAAACAAAAAGCTAATGACTCTTGTGTAGCCTGGTAATATTTATCGTAACGAAATACAAGAAAGTTCAAAATTATGGAGATTTATTTTTATAATACAGGTCCCAGATTTCATGGCCTCTCTAATGTAATACCAAAAGAACTAGTTGCAGGGTTGAGACATAGGAGGGCAGTTGCCTCGGTTTGTAAGAAATACATTGTGGCCGGTGAAGGCAGACTGTCAATGTACTGTAGTTTTTGTTAAGGGGATGTCTATTTGAGAGGTCTGTACATGTTTTTGTACACAATACCAGTTGTTAGGATGTGAGAATGTTCTTACTGATTGAAATTGTGACATTTTTACCTGTACATAAACATGATGCATCCGTGTTGTTTAGTTGTGCTGTCTGCAGTAATATCAGTGTTATGTAATTAGTATTTATTTACAGGCATTCTGTTTGAATAAAACCATTCCATTTATTGAATCAAAAAGACTAGTATAAATTTGTTTTGAACCGAGTTTCCATGGACCACATTGTACAGATTAGCTCAACTAGAGGAATGAAGCCCAACAGAAATAAAGAAATTACGAAAAAGTTTTAAATGACAATTTGATTTTTTTATTCCCTTTTTATTCCAATTATATATAGAAGCAAATGATTTCGATGTGAAAGACAGACAGTTGAAAGACAGTGACAGTGATAAATGAGTTTACCATAAAGCAGCAAATATGCAGGACATTTTTCATGTCAACAGGTTTTCAATACGCTGTATAATTCCAAAACATTTAGGAGATGAGACGATACATGCACGCACAGACACAATCGCTTTCTCTTTTGCATGATACGGTCTTGTTTATCATCGCCCTTATTGTTAGAAACACGCAATTTGCGTTAGTTTTTAACAGCATTTCAGACCAATCGCTGTACCCACACTGCTCATTACCCATCCCTTTCTAAGCTCAGCTTCCATCTCGCTCATTAATCACACAAATTAAGCGAAAACATTAACGCATCACGTCATTCAAACACTTGCCAACGATATGTAACCCGGATGCACGCATTTCACTGCGCCCAATCCCACAGCCAATTCACGTTACCATAGAGCCAAATCTGTACATAAAGGCCACTTGAGGGAAATGCCGAAAGTGGATTTTATGGACAGATGGACAGATGGTTTCACTGTGTAATTGCTACACCTTTATTGCCAAGTTTCCTTAACAGACAGCTGTCTGTTTTTCTAGAGCTCTCTACTAAGAGCTCTGAGTGTGTATTTGCCTAGCTTGGCACGAGCGACGCTGCGCTAGTGCGTGAACGCAAACGCTCGCTTGCCTTGCAGCGTGGCGACACAGGTGGCGCCGGTGACCTCGTCACGTTGCTCGCGGCACGTGTACAGCCGCAGCTTCTTCGTCCGCTGCCCGAACAACGCCTGAACCTGCAATCAGGAGAATGAGGTGTGTAACGAACGAATTCTGCCACCTGATGACAAACCCAAGCAAACTAATTCGTCTTGACAAAAAGAGCGCTAAACCCGCGTTTTCGAAACGGCTGTTAACAGGTCAATATATACTGGACCTATCATAAAATAAAACACTCAACACCACCATGAAATCCGACAAATGTATTCAAGAACACGTAACGAGAAATATGCTACCTCACTGCTCAGCTGCGTCCCAGAGATGGCACCACCTCCAGCAGGATTTTCAAGCAGCACGGTGCCGACATTGCCCTTCGCACCATTCCGTGGCGCAGAGTCAACCAACTCCACATTGACGTAACTACAGTGCGGTCCTGCCTCCACCGTGCCTGCGCAGTAAAGTCACACCCGGGTCACAGAAATACCGCTTTACAGAAACTCACGCATTACCTACGTGGCATTTAGGAAGACGAACAGGTTTCGGCAGAGTGTAAGTAAGTATAGGAGGAGACAGGATCGGTGAAACCGTAGCCGTGCAACTAGTAAATGAGTGTCAGAAAAACACGAGGAAGAGACAGACAGGTAAACATGAAAAGTGACGGTAAAAAAGAAAAGCTGATCACATCACTAGTTGTGCTAGCTGCCACCCACATTTCTGGCAACAAAAACACTTCTGCATGCATACTGTACATTACAAACACTAGAGCGCAATAGCATCGAGTGATAAACTCGACGAACCTTTGTGGGATAATGGAGTGGGCATGCATCCTGTAGAGACAATCCTGATGACTTAATTATTACACACATTTCTGAGCAGTGACAGGTAACTACAATCTTACACACCCTGTTGCACAACGGTAGGTTGGCCTGTTATGCCAATGTACAGAGTGGAACCGTTTAGTGCGAGGAGTTCTGTCGCACAGGGTGAAACCTCGTCGGTCAGCTTGGGTGACTTGTACAGTTTTGGTCGCACTCCATTCAGACCAAAAACCACATTCACCTGCAAGACAAGAGGTCCGCTGTATATAAGGTTAAACTCAAATGATTTTAATTAGCTATGCAAGTAGGTAAGTGGTAGGTAAGTGTCTATAAAAGCTATCTAAACTAGTTAGGTAACCACACAACCAACGACCAACCAACCTATGCACCAACCAACTAGCTCATAGGTAATAAATTAGCAATAAGCATATCTTTATTTAACTGCAGTCATTTACTTCATAAACAGACTTTCCTAAGGTAATCTATCACGAATTAGGTAGAATATAAGTCGTATATAAGTCAAACACGAAAACATCTCATATTTGCGATGTTGGGCCGACAGCAAATGCCCAATTAGGCTTCGTACACCAATGCAAAACCTTTGTCAAAATTTTCGTAGGAGTCTTCCTAAGGAACCATACAAATGCTGCCCTGCGCTCTACCTCCCTCACCTGTTCCAGCAGATCGTCGGCCGAGGAAATCACGTCCCCATGAGGATTCTCTAACAACAACACGGCCCGGCTGCTCGTGGCGCCCCCTTGCGGGTGGACGGAGCAAAGCGTCAGATTGACGTAACGTGACGCAGGAGACTCTCCCTCTGATCGTTGGATGATGGTTATGTTTAACTTGGCTCCCTTGATCTGCATCAAAAGCGAGCACACATCGTCACACATTCACACGTGCCATGCTATAGGAATGGTATATACTATGAACTGGAATAAACAGATCAAACACGAACTAAACACATGCGTATATGGTGCAAAATGCACGGAGAGCCACAGACCATCACGGACCAAATTAGCAGTTAATTGCAGTCTGTTGCAAAACACACGGACTGCCACGGACTTGCACGTGTTAACCACGGACAACAATACTCATATACATTACGACAATGAGGTCACGAATTTTATCGTCAACTTCGCAAGACCGGAGAATCGAAATGAATAAGTACACACGACTTACGTCTGTCTGCTCCTGGATAATGACATCAGCTGACGAGGGCACTGGGTAGGGCTTCAGTGGTTGCTTGATTGCTGCCTCTATGTACTCAGTGTGCTTGGCCACAATGGCCTGCAGTTCGGCTGTCTTCGGCGTGATATCGTAATGAACAGTTATGGGATCGATGGCTAGCAACTTTGCCTGTTTCAGAAATTGTCGAAAAACGAAGTCGCGTGTGAGTGCAAATATCCTAGGGATGGTTTTCGTCAGTCAGCTTAGTTTAGCTTAGTGACAGTCCCTTTAGACATGTTAGATGCCCAGAGTTATACACACAATCACATGGACGCATGGATGCATGCACCACACCTGTCCCACACCCCCACCTCTCACCCACCACTATTCCCTCACCGCCACGCCCTCACGAACCCCATCTATCGCCACACCCCACCTCTCACCCACCACCTAATTCCCTCACGAACGCGCATTCCTATCCGCACACGCGCACCTCTCACCCACCACTATTCCCTCGACGAACGCGCATCCTATCCGCACACCCTCCGCCACCTCTCATACCACCACTATTCCCTCACGGGGAACGCCCATCCTATCGCGCACCCCCCACGCTCTCACCCATACCACTATTCCCTCACGAACCACCATCGCCTGTCCACAACCCCACCAATCACCCACGCACTATTCGCTCACAAACAGGCGCCCACGGCCTACCGCACAACCCAGCCAACACCCACGGCATCCTATTCCTCACACCACGCGCCTCAGCGAACCTCATCTTATCCCCACCCCACCCTCTCAATCCACCGACTATTCCCTCACGCCCCCGACCGATCACCCACCACTATCCCTCACCCACCATCCGATCACCCACCACTATCTCCTCACCCCACCCCTCACAAACCCCCTTCCTGTCCCACAACCCCACCAATCACACCACCACTATTCCCTCCCGCGCACGCGCCTCACAAACAACTCCGCCGCTAAACCTAGCCACACCCCCATCGTGCCATCCACCACTATCCCTCACCCTACCTTCACCGGACACTCACTATCATCCATCTCACCCCACTCCTCAGCAGCCACCACTATTCCCTCACCCCACCCCTCACGAACCCCATCCCTGTCCCACAACCCCACCAATCACCCACCACTATTCCCTCACGAACCCCATCCCTATCCCACACCCCCACCTCCTCAATCAACGACACTATTCCTCCCCCACTTCTCATCCACCACTTCCACCCTCACCCCACCAATCACCCACCACTATTCCCTCACTCCACCCCTCACGAACCTCATCCCTATCCCACACCCCCACCTCTCATCCACCACTATTCCCTCACCCCACCGATCACCCACCACTATCCCCTCACCCCACCGATCACCCACCACTATCCCCTCACCCCACCGATCACCCACCACTATCCCCTCACCCCACCGATCACCCACCACTATCCCCTCACCCCACCGATCACCCACCACTATCCCCTCACATCACCCCTCACAAACCCCATCCCTGCTGCCTCACACACAGCCCACTCATCGCTCACCTTCTTGCGCAGCTTCTGCATGCGATTAACGACCTCGCGCGCCACGCCCTCGTGTAGCATCTCCTCGCTCGGCGTCACGTCCAGCAACACAAGAACGTCTCCATCCGAGTGCGCCTCGTAGCGCCCGCCGCCACCGCTGGCGCCACCTTCAAACGCGTACGTGACGCGCACGTCGTCGGGTCCGAGGGTGTGGCCGAGCAGCGTGACCTCGCCAACCCGCATCAACTCTGCAACGACATTTTGCGCCGACGGTCGTTTATTTATCGTCATTAACATATTTACAGTTTTCTTCACTTAATTAATTTATTCATTTCTGCAGAGTAAATATACCAAGGTTATAGGTTACATGGGACCGAGTGGACTTAATATTAATATTATTAAGAATAAACTATATCTTAGCTATATCTAAAGGATTAAACCTATACTTGGGATTAAATATAGTTATTGAAGCACCATTAGCTAATGCACACTAATACTAAAGTAGAGAGCGGGATAGCAATAATAATTTCAAAAGTCAATAACAATTGGCTCAATCGCACTCAAATCGATCGCTAAATGGTTTCCCATGCATTAAATCAGGAAAGTGAATGCATATGTGTGCAAATGAATAAATGAACAAGAGTTACCACTGTATCTACGCCCTATGCCCTATCTAGCACGTACCCTCTATCTGTGCATCAGTTAGAGCCTGAATCGCAGCCATGACAGGTTTGAAGTCGCCCTTCAGTCGGGCACCTAGCACTTTGTGGTCCGGCTCAGCATGCAGATGCACGCCATACTTATCCTTGTCCGTGCTCGTTGTTAGAGATCTCACGTTCAACTCCTGCATGAAGATCGCATGCGAAATAATCGCATTATTATCGTTTTATTCAGATACATACTACATTAATTACATTATAAATAATATGTTCTGTTATATAGCTGTAAAAATGGCACATTGTTATTGGTAAAGAGCAGATCACGTCAAGACGACACTGACACGACCCCTCAAAATCACACCGACACGACCCACCAATATGACACTGACACGACCACCAATATGACACTCATACCCCCCAATATGACACTGACACGACCCCCAAGATGACACTCACACACCCCCCATATGACACTAACACGACCCCCCCCCCCAATACGACAATGACACGACCACCAAGATGAGCGCCCGTGACCATGCGCGGCGGTGGCAGACACTCACCTCTCTCCCGTGAAACCCGAGCATAAGTATAAATCATAGGCTGCGGCAGCAGCGGCGGCGGCGGACACTCACCTCGAGCACGTACGACTCTAGCTGGGTGATGTCGTCGAGGCACTGCTGTTCTGCGTGCACGACGACGAGCTCCGGCAGCGGGTACTTGGTGGGCAGCGTGCGGCGGTCGCGCACGACGCGGCCCAGCTCAACAACCGCCTGCATGCGCGACACCTTACGCTCGATCGTCGCGTCGATGAGCTGCTCCCTGCGCACGAGACGACGTGCACGAGACGTGTTACGGATATATATATATATATATATATAATTTTATATATTATGTGAAAAAACACCAGAAGTGTTTTTATTTAGTTCTAAACGATATATCATATATATTAATATCAAGGCTCGACACTAGCGGTGGCCCGGTGGCCCGGGCCACCAAAACTTGATGTCGGGGCCACCAAAGTTTCCAAAAGTTAAAATTTGGTGGCCGCGATCGGCCACTAAAATTTCAAAGTTGTCTATGTGATAAAAATAATTGTTTCTTACGTGCTAATCTCATTCAAAAGAGAGCGAGCAATTCGCGAGCGAGGGCACACGTACGCACTGCAAGCAATTCTAAACCGCGGGAACACCGGGCGCACGGTTTATACCGTCTACTGCGGCGCAACAGAGCCACGTTATTGTGTTAGACTGGTATCCGGCCTCACGCTCTGCTAGACAATGTACACGGCTCTGCGACGAACAGTTCGGCCGCGAACGCAGTCGTAGCCAGAGGTCAAATCTGAGCGGGCGCAGGCCATAGCAATTTTGCCAGCACCAGCATACATGTGATTACATTGTATCCAGAGAAAGACGCGGATACACGGAGGTTCGTGTGTGTGCGCGAGCGATGAGAGTTTCGAAGGCAAACAATTGTCAATAATAAAAAAATGAATGAATATTTCTTCCTTTTTTGAATGTATTTGTTCAAATGTTAAAAATACGGGACACACATGCGTCGCGGGAAGGGTCGGTACGGGACGCGGGACACATGGGCAAAATACGGACGTCTGGTCACCCTGATTGCTAGCTTAGCTCACTGGTGCGAAACTGCCAGCATCGAAAGTTCGCGGTAGAATCACTGAACTATTCCATGAAGATGATCAGTATTTTAATCCGAAGTGTAATATTAGTGCTTTGTAAGTTATTTATGTGCATTTTCTCTGTCCTCTTACGCACGAAATATTGAACTTAGTCTTAGACATGGCTGCTTTTTCTTTTTAAATGCATGCGTACCCAGGCCAGGTTGATATAATTATGGTTCTACTTTAATCTATTAAATCTGCAATATTTATTTTTACAGTTTCAAAGCCTGCCAGACATTTTAACTTTCATGAGATTAAATGTATAATGTTTTATTTTAACATGAAAAGCCAATGTGTTGTTGTTTTATTACAGTTACTTTGTTTTTAATATTTGCATGCTCTGTGACTTTGATCTTCTTGAACGTCTGAACTGATCGATAGCCATGTGCACGCGCGTGTTAGAAAAATAATGAGTGAAAGTAGAAAAAATGGTATGCAAGATTCTTGGTGAGAATTTGATGCCGTGGAATGGATAATTCAAATATATGCCATCCTCAATCATCAATGTCAGTGTGTGCCATTGTGTGGGGTTTGTTAAAGACTTGTGGCAAGTGCATCAGATGGCCCAATTTTCAAATAATATACAATACGAGATTGAAATAAAGAATTTATAATGTTTTCTTTGTTTTTTTTCGGGCCACCAGATTTCATTTTCGGCCACCAAAAATTGGAAAATCAATGATTTTGGTGGCCCGTTCGTGGCCACTGACAAAAAAAGTAGTGTCGAGCCTTGTATATATACAGTACAAATGCACGGCATGCAAGCAATAAAACAAATATAACAAAATTGGATGAAAATCTAATGGAACGCCAATACAAAACATAAAAATACAAACATATACGCACACAAACAAACAAAGTACACAGTACACAAACAGACGCAATGGGTGCACGACGGAAGGGCGTAAACCGATAACACATGGAGGCGCGACTATTACAACGAGAGAGAGAGAGAGAAAGAGAGAGAGAGCGAGAAAGAGAGAGAGAGAGAGAGAGCGAGAGAGAGAGAGACAGAGAGAGAGAGAGCTGTGAACTAGACTGGGTTGTCGATGACGGAGAAGGCCGCACCTCGCCTGTGGCTGCATGATGTAGTGCACGCTGCCCAGGTCCTGCTCCTTCATTGCCTCATGGTCCAGTAGCGAGCGCAGGTTCTGATAGATGTGCTCCGTGAGAAACGGCGTGAACGGAGCCTGTGGAGGAAGACAACGTAACCTTACAGCTGTGTTTTACTGTGAGGTGAGTGGTTTCTACATACCGTATTGTCTTGTACATACTCTTCAAACTTATCACCTCACTCAATAATATATATAATCGATATATATCTTATATATACGTATAGTATAGTATATATATATGAGACATTACCTATAGTATTATTGATACGCTATGGAGTAATATAGATAATAATATATTATGACTTATATATAACTGCCCACGTACTCGCAACACGTGGACATGTCAGATGTAAAGCAAAACATTCTAGGCAGGCGAATATCGGCAGCGGTAAGTGACTAAACACATGAAATATGTCGTCGATAAACAAGCCACACGCGCTAGCAGGAAACACATGAATGTGTCGGACGAGCAAACAGCTACACCGTGGTAGCAGGAAAACACATGAATGTGTCGGACGAGCAAACAGCTACACCGCGGTAGCAGGAAAACACATGAATGTGTCGGACGAGCAAACAGCTACACCGTGGTAGCAGGAAAACACATGAATGTGACGGCAGAGCAAAACAGCTACACCCGCGGGTACAGCAGGAAAACACATGAATGTGATGGACGAGCAAACAGCTACACCGCGGTAGCAGGAAAACACATGAATGTGACGTCGCAGATGACATGTGAATGACACAATGACAATGAAAATGTGAAAAACACATGACATATATATGTCAACATCTACACGTGATCTTTGCGGCTGCAGCGGGAAGCTGGCGAGATGAGGAGGAGGATGCTGCGTGGCGATGCGTACCATGACGACGCACATGTCGAAGAGCACGCTGAACAGAGTCTCCAGCGCCTTGTGACAGTCCTCGATCCCCGTCTCGCCCTTAAAGCGTCGCCGGTTCGATCGGACATACCAGTTGGTGAGGTTGTCGACAAACTTGATGAGTCTCGGCACCACGGTGTACAACCGATACGCTAAAAAAACGACGAGAAAAAAAAATCGGCAAAAAAATCATTATGTATGTGGATGCTGAATCGTATACATGCGCACACTCGTGATTCTGAATGCGTGCGCCCTATCAGCATTCTCCTATTCAACTCCAACGATCTGCATCGAATGAAAGCCGAGAGTCCATACGGAGGCACTTGCAGAGTTGATTGCACGAGTGGCCAGCAAGTTCTATCGCAACATCTGCAAACAATCTGCAACATATCGCTAAATCTCGCGGTTTGAGATGTTGGATCGGTGGTGCCCGCTACCTGACATCTCTTGCTTGACGAAAAGAATGAGGCTCTGTGTGAAGGAGAGGATCCACTTATCCATGCTGTTGTACGACACCTCGACCTCCGTCGGGCTGTAGACAAACTGTCTGCCATCCTCCTGCACATGACAAAATCTCGCAGTTACACCACTGAACGACCTCCATTGAACGGCCACCTGTCTACTAAGGTCACTTTCGGTGTTTATTATAGGCTGTCTTCCTATATTCAGTATGAAGAATAAGATTATATCATTATTATTATTTTATCATTATCATTATTTCATCATACGGTTTACACTGGTTTATGTCAAGCGGCAGATATACGGTGAAAGCATGGCTATAGAACAGACACCTGTCTACAAAGGACACTTTCGGTGTTTATGTCAAGCGGCACATATACGGTGAAAGCATGTCTATAGAATGGTCACCTGTCTACAAAGGACACCTGATTGCACCTTCCGTGCGTGCCCCCTACCTACAGGGCCATCGCCCAGGTACAGTATCCACACTGTAGAGAATGTATGTGTACACACAGGACTGTACCTACAGGCACTGCATGCCAGCGCTACGACCGCGTCGCACCCCCCGCGCCGCTCTCACCTTCTGTGATCGTATGACGTTCTGCACGAGGAAGCGGTAGGCGTTGTACCACGGCAGGAAGACGTCCTTGAGCACGTCGCGCACGCCCTCCTGCTTGAAGCGCAGATTCTCGGCGCGCACGACCGGCGACGCGATAAGGTAGAGCCGCAGCGCGTCGGCGCCGTGCAACGACACGACCGTCAGCGGATCCGGGTAATTCTTCTTGCGCTTGCTCATCTTCTGGCCGTCGCTGTTGCGAGAGCAAACATGCATCAAGGGCAGGCACGGAATAAGGAAATTAGTCTTTACTTTAGTCGTAACTTTAACCATGTAAAATTGAAATTAGTCTTAACTTTAAAGGACAATTGAAGTCAAATTTTATAACTTCTGTAACGTTTTTATACATAGAAATACATTCAATAACGTATTCCATTTCAAATCCGGCGCCCGCAGTTCAAATCCGCAGTAAGAAACACATAAATATTAGTCTAGGTTATGTGACGTCACAGCACCCTGTTGAAACACGCCATTATGTAAACATAGTGCGTGTGGTGTATAAGATGGAGACAGAAAGCGATAATTTCAAAGATTCTAGTGATTACTCAGATGATGAGTATATTTATAGTGATTTACCAGTTGGATATAGGTTTGAGCCTGAATATACACAAGAAGAAATTGAGGAGAATCGTCTGAAAAAGCAACGCGAAGAGTCGGCACACACTTCTCGAGAATCAGAACAGTCACAATTCATGGCGGAATGGAAGCTTCGGTACCAGATAGGACTGTAGAAAAATACTGGTGTTCTTGTAGTGTTTGTGAATTAATGAGTACAGCACCTGAATGTATATGCTGCCATGAGAATGAGAAGACCAGGGTTATTGTAGACTAGTTTGACGCTAGACCAGGTGAGGCATGCGAGTACATTGATCACCGGGCTTATCACGCTCGGTCAGAATCACATGTATCTGTACATGCATGTACAAACATCTCTACGCAAGTCATGTACAAATAACGTAAATGCATTATCCACACAGGTAATATACATGTATGTACATGAATATAAGTACATTTACAGGCTACATGTTTGTTGTATGCTGTAACAATACTTTCACCCAGCATAACAGATACTATAGCGTGTTAGCACTGTTACGCTATATCTAATGGCGTGTTTCAACAGGGATGTCTGAATGAAGCAAGTGACTTTGGGGCTGTGACGTCACATGACCTAGATTAATATTCATGTGTTTCTTACAAATTGGGCGCCGGATTTGAAATGGAATACGTTATTGAATGTATTTCTATGTATAAAAACGTTCCAGAAGTTATAAAATTTGACTTCAATTGTCCTTTAATCGTGTTAAAAATGAAATTAGTCTTTACTTTAGTCGTAACTTTAACCATGTAAAAATGAAATTAGTCTTAACTTTAATCATGTCAAAAATGAAATTTGTCTCAACTTTAACCATGTCAAAAATGTAATTAGTCTTAACATTAGTCGTAACTTTAACCGTGTCAAAAATGAAATTAGTCTTAACATTAGTCGTAACTTTAACCGTGTCAAAAATGAAATTATTAGTCGTAACTTTAACCGTGTCAAAAATGAAATTAGTCTTAACATTAGTCGTAACTTTAACCGTGTCAAAAATGAAATTAGTCTTAACATTAGTCTTAGCTTGGACCATGCTGGTCCCATGACCTGGCCATTTGTTTGGTTGGATTCACTGAACTCGATCCACACTTTCCAACCCTGCTGGTGAGCTGGGTTCAAAAACTATCTAATATGGTGGCGTGTGATTATCTAATGATATAGAAAGCAATGCTTAATTGCCTTGCCTCTGTAATAAAAAACACAGAAAATTGGACTCCTGTACTTACGACGCAAGCACCAGACCGTTCACGATGAGATTTTTGAAGGGTGGCCGATCGAACAGAGCTGTTGAGATGACCAGCAACGTGTAGAACCTAAACAACAGCAAAGAAATCCTCGTGAACAAAGATGTCTTTCACCGCTAGAAGTTCTGATGCAGACACGCAAGCACACCCACTACAACACACACAAACCAGCTGATAAGTGCCCACTTCCTATACTCCGACTCACAAGCACGTTGTAAAGGCAAAAAAACAGGTGAAAAAAACACCGTATTTAAGCAAACATAACAGACCTGCACACAATTTATTTTGGCACAGAGTGGAGACATTGCTAGCAAGCAGACTTCATCATTCAGAAATAACTTTTAAAAGTAATCGCAATTTGTGTAATGAAATTGTCAGCTTTTGTCATAAAACTAGCTCACCGCTTTTATAATTCGACTCAACAGTTTTTTCTATGAGAACTGATTTTATTACAAAAGCTGCTGATTTACACACAAAAAAACTTGCGCGTTTTTACAAAAGTGGGGGCTCGTATGCAACGTGCTGCCCATGGCGCCACCTACCAACCGCGCGTCTGGTCGATACCCTCGGCGATGAAATCGGCCGGGAAGCTGTCCTCGAATTCCTTCTTGTTCTCGAACGGGTAATGCGCCTGCGCGTACGGCATGCCTCCGCTCTCGAACCAGCAGTCGAACACCTCCGACACACGTCGCAGCTCTCCCTTCCCACAGCGCGACGGAATCGTCAGCCCATCCACGCTGATACGACAACAGACGTGTAACGTTGAGCACTCAATCAAATCCTCAATGCCTCGAGCTCCAAAATTCAACGCTTTATAACACAATTACGTGCAATTATTACAGCAGCTGCAAATCTAACTGTCCGCACACACCGACACTAATCTGTCGAGACATTCAATAGACAAACGAAACGAAATTCGAAATAGACTCCGAGTCTTCGTGCGCATTCACGCGAGCACCCCCCTCCGCTGTCTACATCGCACCTCGCGCGCGCGGCCACTCACGTCTCGCGGTGGAGGTCAGTGACCTTGACCCCGGTCAGCTGCTCGAGCTCGGCGATGGATCCGATGCAGACGACCTCCTCCCCGTCGTCGCTCGCCCACAGCGGCAGCGGCGTGCCCCAGTAGCGATTGCGTGACACCGCCCAGTCGCGCGCGCCGCGCAGCCAGTTCGCAAAGCGCTTCTCCTTCACAAAGTCGGGAACCCTGCGCGAAGGTGACAGGAACACCGATGATCGATCGATCACGCAATACGTAGCAGTGCTGTACAATAAATTCGGGAACCCTGCGCGAATGTTACGCGAAGACGAATGATCCATCACGTCTACACTAGTTAGTACTACACTATTGCTGGCAGTACATCGCAGCACTGCAGAGTATCACCGAAGTGACAAGCTGAACTGTACGCAGAATCAATGGGCTCTCAAAAATAGACACTATCGTATCGAGAAGACGAAGAGAAAAATGCGAATTCAACCGAAACAACACCTGTGACTCTCCAACACGCCAGATGTGCTAACAGTGTACTATAGTGTCTATATAGGAAAAACCGGACGCAAACCAGTACTGCAGTGCTGTAATACTGACCAGTACTGCGATGCTGTAATACTGACCAGTACCGTAGGGTTGTAATACTAACCAGTACGTTTGCTGGTTGTTTGCGAGCAGCTTGTCCGTCATGTGCTCAACGCGAATGAACCAGCTCGGCACTGCCTTGTAGATGAGTGGGGTCTCCGACCTGCAACAATGCACACAGAAGACATCATCGAAGGGTAGCACTCGTGTCACGCACGCGCTCCTCCCCATACGTATGGCAAGAAACACAGTAGTTAGGAGTGAGTGGCAACACTTGTTCACATCCCTCGTACATTTGTGAAGTAACATACTGATAAGAGAGCTTTACACTCACACGCATATCACTCGTACATCCACCGAGAAACATGCGCACGCACACACACACACACACACACAAACAGATACATCCTTCGAACATCCAGCATGGTAGACATATTGACACCTTTATTCTTTAGCACCACTAGAGAAGAAAAAATGGTGGTGGGGCAGGAGAGAGAATTTACTGCAAAAATAGTTGCTTGTAAACGTATGTTTCCTATGCAGCTCTGCACAACTATGCAGAACTGTACCTACTTACCTCCAGCAGAATGGATAACTGTGTTTCGTTGTGCTCTGATGAACTAATCGATTATGCTGCTTCAACCATTTGATAATATGCTTGTCTGCATCCTGCAGAAGTAAATACACAAATGTAAACCGAATGTTCAGGCTCAATCACAGAATGACTAATTCTCACGTTATACACTTCACTTCTTGGCATAGCTAAATGGGTGCTGTTGCCAGAGAGACTGCAATTGAGCTGTAAAACTGCCTGATTGCATCATTCATATGCATGCCCTTCCTGTCGGTCACCTACTTACAGCCCTCACATGACCTTGAAGTTGGCAACCGACATACCTTTACGACTTTAACCTGGGTGACCCACCCACATTCACGCGACCTTCTCAGTAACCTTAATCACCTTCACGGTGACAATGAACTTAGTGATGTACTCACCTTCACGTACATGCCCTTGAAGTCTGTGACCTCGTCGGTGAAATTGCCACTGTCGTCAACTGGACAGATGAGCTTCATGTCCTTCGTAATGATGCCGTTGGCCAGGCCAACTCTGTAATCGTCCTGCATAGAGTGCAGACGAAGTGTGTGTGAAGATGCGTCAGCGACAGACTCAAGCAGCTACTTGTTTACGAGCGGTGTATCCATGTGAAAACGTGTTAAGTACTGTCGCAATGGCTTAACGTTTATAAAAAAAAATGCAAAGCACATCTAACGGACGTCTGCGCAATTCGCTGCACATACTCTTGTGTGCTGCGACACCATATTACCCACCTCGCCAAAGTAGGGAGCCTGGTGGACGAGTCCGGTGCCGCTCTCCGCCGTCACATACTCGTCACACAGCACCCTGAACGCGCCAGTCTGCTGCCGCATGTGCGCAAAGTAGGGAAACAGCGGCTGGTAGACCGTGCCCTTGAGCGTTCCACCGAGAAACCTGCGTGGTGAAAACATTCAGATGTGTTACGAATCGCAAGCAGCATCATCTCGTGGAAAACTTGGTCGGCTTAACTGACCCACAGACAACATCTGGCGAGGAGAGTGGAATTTCGCTGGAGACGGATGGGGGCAATCGATGAACGTACTTATCTATCACGGTGTACTCCTCTGGTTTCTTGAAGAGGGCATCAAGTCTTGCCTCCATCATGATATAGACATTGTTGGTGTTATTGTCTGAAATGTCAAAGGGAATTTAGCAAGCATACCATGGCAATTTAGGTTTTGATTTAGACATTACTTTTATAACACTTTAAACTTGAAGGTTTAGTTCTTTTTATTTATTTATTGATGCTGAACCTTGAAAGTGTCTCCCTTTGTAGAATCCCTCAAGTTCAAAGCAAAGAGAAAAAAAGAATAAGGAGCAATCAAGAGAGGGAAGTAAAACAGAGGAAGAAACATGACAAAAACAATGAAACGAGAAACTAGGGGAGCATGGAGTCTAGCTGACCGGGAACAGCAAATGTACCCAATCACAGATAGGAGCGTAACTCCCACACACAGACCTCAGTTTAATGGCCGGCCCACCAGCTGCCACCCACCCTCTTCCGGCCTCGTTAATTCTCACCGTGAAGTGTACAACTGCCTACCTCTGACCTTGACGTACTCCAGCGAGGGATGCACACAGAGTGACAGATTGCTGGGCAGAGTCCACGGCGTTGTGGTCCACGCAATCATCGACACGGACGGATCTTCCTCAAGCGGAAAACTCACCATCACTGCCCAGCAAGTAAGCATACGTCTGCATTTATCCACACCACTCAGGGCCGTAAATCACTTAGAATCAAAGCCACAGTAAAGTCTACGCTCAGTACAAAGTAGTTAATAAATACGCACTCTCTTTCTTCTGCAGAATCGAACACTCGAAGATTGATGATTATGTGCTTATGTGTGTAGTGATCGAATGCCTAGAGCAGTTGTGGGCAAACTTTTCAGAGGGAGGGCCGCATCAGTGGGCCATGAAAAGTCAAAGGGCCGCATCTTTTAAAATCGGGCGGCGCACTCTAAGATAATACAACATATAGACAGCGTTTCGCCTCAAGGGCGCCATCTCTGGACCATAATTAGCTGAAATGGCGTTGCAGAGCGAACCCAGAGACAATAGAACACTAATCTGTATGACACTGAAAAAGTCAGCCTCGGTTCAAGCACAAACATGTTGACTTTAACAAAAAAAAATTTATTTTTTTATTTTTATTTTTTTCTAATTTGCTGCAGGCTTCCGCGGGCCGCACAGAACCCCGTAGAGGGCCGCATGCGGTCCGCGGGCCGCAGTTTCCCCACCCCTGGCCTAGAGAGATCGAATAAAAACATTGAGACACCTAAACCAGCAACGCTGGACACTTGGATCTATCAATGAAAGTGATTGATGAACCTTTCATACCCTGAAAACTTAATTGTTTTAATTCAGTTTTTATTGTTCATCATGATAATTCACTCCGAGCCTTCAAGATCTACAAATGTATCAACCTCATTTATCATTAAGACAAGACCAACGTTAATAATATTCCTAATGCACATATGGATTGGCCACATCATCTGGGATCTGACGATATATTTGGCGATGTTTGGCTCTATATCAAGTATGGAAAACTTTTACGCACCTGCAGGATCTACAACTTCCTTGTAATTCTGCCCAGATTCAAAGTTTGACAGAGGAGTGTTGCAGGCTGTTGAGAACGGCATTACCTGTGTCAATGTTTGATAATAAAATGAGAGAACCTTCTTGCAGTCACTATAGACCTTAAAGCACATTTTAAAGCACGGGACTGACATGAGAATGGCCAAGATGAGAGTACCCTTATGATACACCAGCCTCAAACCGGGGAAATATTTCACTAGGAACACTGCATAATACATACACACATGTACAACATGTACTGATGTATAATAATACATGCAAGAAAAGTCATCTGATACACTCTAGCCACCTTTGGCTGCAAGGAACTTGATTTACTAAATCACCCAATCGCTATACATACAGTTGCAAGGCCCTAAAAGACGTAACATTGTTGCCAAAAAAGTACTTTCTCCTGTTTTTCACATCCATTTTAAAAACGTGCTCTTTTAACAATAACAACAGAACAGGGCTGAATGACATATATGATATAGCCATCTCAATGGAACTCAAAGTAGTGGGAACATCAACTACAATCACACAGGACTGACTAGCCACACCTTAAAGCCTCTATAAACGAGTCCCTTGTCAAACAACTGCTTGAATATCCACCAGATGCTCTCCATGAACCAAGGATAGAGCGTCTTGTAGTCGTTCTTGAAGTCGATCCACCGGCCGAGTCGGGTCACGATGGTCTGCCAGGAGAGAAGGGCACGTAGAGAATATGTATGCCAAATACAAAGAGAACATTGGTGATACATGGTCAATGACTCAATAGACCCATTTTACTCTGACATAATACTAGACCTGATTCTGCAGCTATGCATGGTTTTACAGACATGATTTGAGTGTCAAGAATCAGGTTATTTCTCTCGGCTGTGTCGTTTCTGCTACCGTCACCATGCACAAGGAGCAAGACATCCAACATATGGCAGAAGACTTAATTACCTCCCAGTCATCTGAGTATCGCATCACAATCTTTCGGCACTCAGCATTGTATTTGTCTATCCCCATTGCAGCCACATCCTGTGGTCCCTTAATACCTAGAGTCTTGTCAATCTCATATTCCTACACAACACATCAAATAAAATACAGATATCAGCATGTCACTAAATGAGTTATCGCTATATATTACTTGCATATATATATATATACTATAAATATGTAAGTACCGCTATTGTATTGGCTATGGACATCACGCCACTTTCAAACTTTGTATGAACATAACTGAATGTTTTCAGGAAATAATCTCCTGTTGTTTAGGATAATAGATTTTAGACAGAAAGGCAATATTCATATATATGTTAAACAAAACAAACTATAAACATTATGCACCACAGGTAATCCATGGGTGTCCCATCCAAATCGTCGTTCCACATGAAATCCTGACTGATGGGCATGACGGGTGACTATATCCTTGATAGTTCCTGCCAGAATGTGTCCGTAATGAGGCAGCCCCGTGGCAAATGGCGGGCCATCATAAAACGAAAACCTGCAAGAATATATATATGTCACCCCCATCCATATGCTTAATTTGCAAGAATACAGCAGTGCCAGTAGTACTGCTACTCTGAGATTACATAATGGCCCCACATATTATGGGTGTTGCTAAAATAATGCACACCTACCCGACAGCTATTGCAAAATATATCATGTGCATACACACAGACTCAGACACAAGCGCTCACATGCACACACACGCGTGAGCACGCACGCACGCACGCACGCAAACACACACACACGCACGCACGCACGCACGCACGCACGCACACACACTTGCCCACTCGCACTTGCACACGCACACTCGCATATATGGAATTGTAATAACGTTCTATATCCTGTAACATATGGAGCAAACTTCCCCTCAGCCCAGTTATTCTCCCACCTCGGTTTATGTTTAGACTGTTTCAAGCACGTGGCAAACACATCTAGCTTCTCCCAGAGTTTTAGAATTTCCTCTTCAGCCTTTGGGAAGTTGATGTTCTCCGGTACAGCAACCACCATCCTGATTTCTTCCTCAGAGTATTAGTGTTTCTAAACAATCAAAGATATAGGTGTTACATCATTACCTGTAGCAGTTCCAGATGTGTTAATCACATTATATAAATCACTACCTATAACCCATGTAACATAATTATGGTCTTACACTCAACCTCACCTCCTCTTCCTCCTCTCTATCAGCTACAGCTTTTCCCAGCCTGGCTGTATATTCTTCCCTCTACACTGCCTCGTTATCTACTTGCTTTATGTTCTCTGTTCTCCCCTTCTATTAGTGCTAGTTACCTCTTCTACCGGTGTACCATCCCCTTCACCATTCCTTCTTCTACTCTCACTCTCAGTAACTCTGTAATATACTCCATCAATCTGGCTTTACCCACTGGCAGCAAGAACAAGTCCGCATCTGCAGCCACAGGCTACAGCACACACGCATCTATTGACTATATACATACAACAATATATATTGTATGTTGTATGTTGTATATATATAGTCAATAGATGCGTGTGTGCATATGGTTCAAAGGCCACGTAGCCAGGCCTTTTGGGGTGCAAATTTACTCACTTTATGGAACGTCCAGGTATGGCGGCCGAGCAAGTAATGGGGGCGCCTAACCCTAACCTAACCCTAATTCTAACCCTACAACCCTAACAACTGTTTAATTGTTAGGGTTAGGGTTAGGTTTTTAGGGTTAGGGTTTTAGGGGTTAGGGGTTAGAATAGGTTAGGGTTTAGGGTTAGGACGGCCGCATACTGCGCCGCGCATAAACTCGGACGTCCCCCATACAAGTGTAATTTGCAACCCCAGCTTTGTAATTGGGGGGGGGGGGTTCGTTTTTCAATGTTCGGGCAATTTTTGCCTCGCAGGGGCGTGTAACAGGATGTTTTGTACGCAGGGGGGGTTTAACCGTAACCCGAATTGCGAGCAACGCGAAGGGGGGGTGTGGGGGGCCCTCCCCAGAAATTTTTAAATTACACCCCCTCAGATGCGGTTTTTCTGCCGCGAGCAAGGTGCGGTCCCTGGACTCGCCTGGACCGCCCGCCTGTCCACGCCCCTCTCCGGCGCGAAGCACGAGCCAGGCCGAGGAGCCAAAGCCGACCGAGCCGGGGTGGCACGGGTGCGGAGGGTGTTCAACTGTTCACCGCTCCCGCCAACGATGGAGATTTTGCCCGCAATTTGATTAACACTAAAATAGAGCGGACCTGAAGGTTGAAAATTTTTGCAAATTTTCAAAAAAAATTTGTTTTGCTTGGGGCCGGGGTGGGGGTTCGTTCGAACCACCCGAACCCCCCCTGGCTACGGGCCTGTATGTCATGACAAAAATATGAGGAGCTGGATTAGAATAAGTAATCAAATAGAGAAAGCGGAGTAAGAGATAGACGATACGTTGCGGTAGAAAATTAACAGGAAAAACATAGCAAGGGGAAGATAGGAAGGAAGCTTGACTTGAGCTGGAATATCAAAGGTAAAAGCCCACTGGCAAGCCAAGAAATAAGTTCGCACCTGGCAGCTACAAGCACACACGGCAT